GTAAATTATAAAACATGCCAGTGGTTGAATGTATATGTTATGCCAATCTGTAAGGTGATTTGAATTCAGCTTAGTGTGTTGAGTGAACCCAGCCATTATAAGCAGTGGTTTACAGCTTGGTACAATGTCTACTCCCAACCACTGAATTGATCCATTAATTAATTTAGGCTAGCATGCCTTTTGTGTCTGGAGACACAACTACCAGGTTTTAAATTGACTTTTCACACTAACCCCAGTATGAATTTGCAATAGAGCAGGTGGCATTCCAATGAGTTTTGAACTCCTTTTCATCTGGGGAAGAATCTTGCCAGTTTTAGAATCAAGAGATATAGAAAATTTCTCAAAGCTTGTACCAGTCTCCATCCTCCCAAAAAATTATCTGGGGCTGCTGTGCCCAGCCTTCTTTTTCTTTCCCACACCTTCATCTGATCTGAGTTATAGCGTAGTAAGTCTCTTATTTCTTTATATAACTTTGGGTCTTCTCTTAAGAGTTTGCTAACTTCAGTTGACCAAAATTGCCACCAGTGTTGACTGAATACTTCTGAGGATATACAGAATAAGTCAGATGGAAAAGTGTTCAGAATGGATCTTAAAAGAACATAAAGAACTCTTTGTAATTTTCCTCTGCAAATGCTTGTGTGAATGCAGTCCATTTTGTCCACCCCAACTTAGACATTTTTGGGTGCAACCATTTTTTTTTTACCTCTCCATAAGTTGCATTTGTGAGATGCCCCCCCCCCCCAAGCCCCAGACTTCCTTTTCTTCTGATCAGTGTCCTCATTCTCTGGCTCAGAATCCAAATCTGGTCACCCTCCAGATGTGTGGACTCTAAATATCTGGATAATTCTAGGAGCTGATATCTAGATAAGACTTCAGTATCTTGACAATCCTTGGAGCTGATATTTGGATAAGACCTAAATATCTGGATAATTCTTAGAGATGAAGATATCTGGATAGGAGCTAGATGTCTTGGAATTGAAGTCCATACATCTGAAGGTCACCCAGTTAGAAAAAACAACTTCTTGCTTTTCTCTCTTCTCCTCTTTTATAAATGGGTTTGATCTACCAAACTACAAGCTCCTATAACCCAAGCCCACTGTCGTCTGAAACCAGCTCAGTATTGCCCAGAGAATAAGAGAGAGAGATTTTACTGAGCCTTGACACTCTTTCTCGGGCATTCACTCCCCAGAGAAGCTTGTCTGGCTCCATCTCTGATGACATTCCAGAATCAGGAGGATATTTTTGTGTAGCATTCCATTCCATCTGGTTTTAACCTGGTTTTGCATAATCTACTGAATGTTTCTCCTTTTCTAGCTCGAGCCAACTCTTATTTGTAATCGAAACTTTCTATTAGCCCTGAATGATGATAAATGGTCATAAAGCTAATTAAAGTCTATTGAGGTACGTTTGTTAAATGCGAATGGAGTAGCTAATTTTAAACAGAATGTAATTGACAGAAATCTTGGTGCATTGCAAAAACCAGTGTGTCATTGGAGAAGCAGCAAAAAAGTCTGGTAGCCCCTTTTCCAGCTAACCAATTCTATTAAAAGGCAGAAGTGTCCATGAGCTAAAGTTGGATGCATAGAGAAATAGATGATTTTGGAAGACCCATTCTCAGGATAGATCCACCTCACCAGATTGTTATAATAAAATTATGGGTTGGGGGTTGAAGGAGGCAGATCACGTAATTTAAAGCACACTTCTTCCTATACCAGTCTGCCCATACTTTAAGATCTGCTACAGAGACTCTCTTCCAAATATTCTTCATGTACAGTATTATATAAACAAGAGAGAGCTTTATTTTGTTGTTGCTCTTATAATGGTACTCCATCTGTAGGACTCTCTTTTGATAGATATGTGACTTTTGACAGATATGTGACTTGGCCACCAAAGTTGCCAAGTTTTAGGTAACAAGCTTTTTCTGCTCTTTAAATGATTTTCTGCATTCTCTTTTCAATTTTAAGGTAGTATGACCATTTGAGGTTCTGGTCTGCATCGTCGTCTTCTCTTTGAAAGAAGAACTTGTTTAAACATCATTTAATCTTTAATCATAATCACCCTGCTCTGGGTTCATTGGGGGGCGGGGTGATAGAAAGAATGATGATGATCATGCTGCCTGCACTCAGGCATGGATAGCAGGATCAACACATCTACACACACACGTTGGGTAAAAAGTTAGCATTCTCAGCATAAAGTGCAAACTCCTCAACACACACACACACACACACACACACACACACACACACCCTTCCTTGCTGTCTTATTTGGGGTTTTTTTCCCCCCCCATCTCAGTGACAACTAAAATCAAAACTTCAGGAGGACTCTGGTAGCACCATTTCCAACTAACCAATTTTATTAAATGGCATTTTGTGAGCTACAACTTACTTCATCGGAGGCATAGAGTGTCTGGACCAGTGTTTCTTAACCCAGGCAACTTTAAGATCTCTGGACTTAAATTCCCAGAATTCCCCAACCAGTATGCCGGGAGTTAGTCCACACATCTTCAAGCTGCCAAGGTTGAGAGACACTGGTCAAGTCTGATATAAATTGAGATGTGGCTTTTAAATTTAAATATAAATCTTACATCAGTCTAACTGCTCTATGCATTCGACCAAGTGAGCTGTAGCTCGCAAAAGCTTATGCCTTTTAATAAAATTGGTTAGTTGGAAATGGTGCTACCTTTCGATGCGTATTCCCCATTGCGGGCCTGCGTACTCTCTTGTAATCCCTTCCTCTCCAATCTCTGTGCTCTGTGAGGGGGGGGAAAGGCAGGGGGAACAGCTCTGGCACAGGACAACATGTACTGACTGTAATGGCGAACATGTGACTGAGAGATGCTGTGAAGTTCATAAATGCAGTCATTGGTTGCAAAGTTACTTTATCATCACTGTCGTAACTGTGAACAGTTGCTGCCCAAGGCAGTCACTAAGCAAGGTCTAACTCTATGTGGGAATGAGTTTGGGAGACAGGAGGAAGAACTGCAGACTAGACAGGGATGGGAAGTGTCTCAGAAGGGACCCTCCCTAGTTTTCTGGAAAGTAAAAGTAAGGAAGGGGAGAAATGCTTTCAGACCTGCAAGATTCTGTTACTGTAACCTTACAATAAAGGTAGTGTTAGTACTCACAGTTGGTGCTTCTTGTCTGGACTACCTCAAAGGGCTGACAGTGACTGACATTCTGCCCTCTCTTGGGGCTCTTCTTTGGAGGGAGATGATTCTTCTGACCACTAGAAAAGCCATCTGTTGTTACTAGTCCTCAAGACAGTTATCTCTGTCATGGGTGATTTTAAATATAAATCCAACACATTGAATTTATACCTGTGCGCATCAGCCCATGTGAATGAGCACAAATTAATTGGCACAGCTTTGCTGTTTGCTTACATTGTTCTGCACTGTGTGGGGTGGGAGTTGGGAATTGCAGTGCCCCATCTCACGGCAGATGGCGGATGAGGTTGGAAAGGGAAGGCTCATTTGCAGACGTGTACTCGTCCTCATTTGTCTCAATAGGTTTGGAGCTTAGAATAGAGAGATGATGAAATTGACAGCTTTGATCAGAGAACAGACATTGATAGATTTTAATGCTGATTGGAAACCCCTTTTGGACTTTTTGCGTGAAACAGAAAAAATTGAAATCATGATATAGGTAGTCCTCGCTTAACAACCAAAATTAGGACTGGAATTTAGGTCACTAAGCAGTGCGGTCCTTAAGTGAATCATCATGTGACCACGTCTGATTTTTACAACCTTTTTTGTAGTGGTCATTAAATGAATTGTGTGGTCATTAAGCAAGTCACACAGTTAAGTGAATCATGTGGTTCCCCATTGATTTCGCTTGCTGGAAGCTGGCTGGGAAGGTCGTAAATGGCAATTATGTGACTGTGGGATGCTGCAACCATCGTAAGTGCAAGCTGGTTGCCAAGTGCCCAGATCATGATCACATGACCACAGGGGTGCTGCAATGGTCATAACTTTGAGCACCAGTTGTAAGTCACTTTTTAGCACCATTGTAACTTTGAACAGTCACTAAATGAACAGTCGTTAAGTAAGGCCTACCTGCATATGGACTTGATGA